CTTTCTTTCTTTCTTTCTTTCTTTCTTTCTTTCTTTCTTTCATCTGTCTCTCTCTATCTCCCTCCCTCCCTCCCTCCCTCCCTCCCTCCCTTCCTCCCTCCCTCCCTCTCTGTCTCTGTCTTTCTGTTTTCTTCCCCCTTCCTTCTTTCTTTTCTCTCTTTCAAGACAGGGTTTCATGTACCAGCTCAATGCTGCTGCCTGCTCTGTGCTCTGTGCTCCTGTGCATTCACCAGCTGAAGGTGGTGGATGCTTTGACTTGAGTCACCGCAGCCTTGCAAGGCCCTCTAGTGGAAAGTACATCTCAGCCTTTCCTTGGCCTGATGGAAAGGAGATTGTAATGTTTATGTACTTGGGTCCAATAGTGCAACATGCATGTGTTTATTGTTATATGTATAATACATGGATGAAGTTGTCTAGCACATGTTGGCCCAGGCACTTGAGTATAGGTTTTCATGTGGAAAAAGTCATTAGCTTCTAAAACTCTAGCCCTACTTTAGATGTTGACACCTGCCTTCATTTTCAGTGGTCTGCAGTCAGAAGCCACCAACCTTCCCCTAGTTTACTGTGGTAATGTGGGTGGCAGAGAAATCCCGAGATTGACAGGTACCATCAGGGTTTCACTAGAAATGCAAGCAGGCAAGCTCACAGATGCAAGTGAAGTACCCAGGGCAAAACTGCTTTTCAAAGGGCCAGGCTGAACCACGCTTCTAGTTACTCAATGTACTTGAAGTACTCAGGTAGCCCCACTTTAGAGGAAGGTGATCAATCGATCCCATCTATCGGGTTGTAAGGATCTTAGGGACTGCCTGGAGTGTATGTTGGGTGTGGCTGACACATGTGCCCAGGACATGGGAGAGGACAGGTAGGATAATGCAGGAAGCTGGGGATGGGGTGGAGGTGGGGGAAGGGCAGCTGTCTCGCTCTTCTCCCTCTCCTTCCCCTACTCCCTCACTGTGTAGTGCAGGGCTCTGGCTGGTGAATGCTCTTGTCTCTGTTTTGAGCACATCTTCCCCAGGCTTCCCTCCTACCTTCCCATGGACACCTCCTACCTTCCTATGGACTCCTCCTACCTTCCCATGGACTCCTCCTACCTTCTCACGGACTCCTCCTACCTTCTCACGGACTCCTCTTACCTTCCTATGGACTCCTCCTACCTTCCCATGGACTCCTCCTACCTCCCCATGGACTCCTCCTACCTTCCCATGGACTCCTCCTACCTTCCCATGAA